TATATATATATATTATTTTATTTTAATATGTAAATTTAAAAATATTTGGTAAATTAATATATTTTTTTAAAGATATATAGTTAATTTTAGTAAAATTTATAATAATTTTTAAAATAATAATTAAATATGTAAATTAAGAAATATATTATTAAAGTGTAGCATGTTTAGATTTTTTAAGGAAATTTTTTTTTATAAAAAACAAGGATGGTGTAACATTTAAATCTCTAAGAAAACGTTAAAGGGTATTTTAATGATAGCAGAAATTTAACGAAAACTTTATAAAATGAGTAAAATGTTATACATTAAAACCTGTTGAGAAAACGATAATTTTTATCATAAGAGGCGAGAGTAATGTAATATTTGTATGGATAAGAGTATAATTCACTCTAGTTTAAAAAATAAGTTATTATATCTCATAAAAAAGCTGTTCTAACCTTTAATTTTAGTATATCTATTATCTGGTATTAATAATTTTTAAAATGTACCTGTTCCTGTGTTAGGATACACACTTCACTTATCCTTGTTGTAGCGGGTCTAATCCTGGGTCTCGGTCTTCTCGTTCCTATCCGGGTAGTCTGATGTGAGGAGGGGGGTGTGCCTGCAAAGACACTCCAACGCTCAAGTAAGTGCTCAGCGTAATAAATGCGGTAGTTGAAAGTTTTTTACATACCTCGAAGGTGGTCTATTTATAGTGTTTCTTATTGGGCCGTGATTAGGAGCTGGGCCCCGGAAAATTAGGGGGTTAATCCGGCTTATTTCTTAAATTAATCCCTTCGTAATCATACTGGTGGAGTCCCGGGGATCGGCCGAGCAAACCGACCCCTTCTGTTTGGCGAGTGTTCGGTGTGTTCGGGTATTGGTTTCGGTCTCTGTTGGGTTCTGGTATTCGGTCGGGTCGGTCGGCTCGGCCTCGGTCCCATACGGTATACAACCCCCGCAGTGTCGAGGATTCAGAAGACGAGGACGTTTACAAATATAAAGCGTCGTGGTTTTTCGTGAGGGAGTAAGGATCGGTCTCGACCGCTGGTGGTGCTCGTTTGTGGCTGGGGGGGCCAAGGGCTTCGCTTAATGAAGCTTTTCCCGAGACCTCAATTGGAGAACCGAGAGTGACTTGGGGAGGTATTTTCCGAGACCTCAACTGGAGGAGGTCTATGCCGAGACCTCAATTGGAGGAGGTCTATGTCGAGACCTCAATCGGAGGAGGTCTATACCGAGACCTCAATTGGAGGAGGTCTATGCCGAGACCTCAATCGGAGGAGGTCTATACCGAGACCTCAATTGGAGGAGCCGCGAGCACGACTGGAGGAGGTCTATACCGAGACCTCAATTGGAGGAGGTCTATGCCGAGACCTCAAACATTGAGAGCCAGTGCCGAGAACTCTATGGGTGTGGTGTGCCACGTTGGCCCTAGGGGGTTTGGAGCATTTACTTGCTGTAAATTCTCTGAGATCTCTGAGTTAAAGAGTTTAGCCGAGCTCACCGATCAAGGTACAATTTTGTATTTTTTAATTTGTGGTAAGTAGTGGACAGCGGTTACTCTTCGGCAAGGAGTTGGACGTCGTCGGAGGTGTCGGGCGCTGCGTCAGATGGGGAGGGATCGGATTCGAGTGAGATATCGAGGCTGCCATTGTTACAATGTGAAGTGGTGTTCCCTTCCGACCATCCGGAACAGGAAGACAGTGGGGATGACGTGGTCGAGGTATCGCCTCCCGTAACCTTGGCCGTGGCTTTGGCCCGAGCGACCGAGGAAGACGATAGAGGCTTAGGTCGGGTCGGTCAGCCGGACCCATGTGCTGCAGCCATTCATGCCGAAATAAGCGGGGACGAGTTGGAGGTGCTTGACGATGCACGAGGCAAGGGTGTGGTCGGCCCGAGTGGTCGGTCGAAACCAAAGATTGACTACGGCACGGTGGAAATGCCGGGTATGAATGGGTAGACGGAGAGGTCGGCATTTACTTCTCCAAGTTATCCGACCAAGGGCTGTTAGACACATTCGTGTCTTTAGACAAGTGCTTTGGGAGCGGGGATGATGAATTTTCGTTACTCGTCGAGGCGTGCGTGGATGATGGGCCGGACACTGACTTCGTGTTTTTGGAGCCGGGTCCCGATGAGGACAACTATTTTTACGCTTATATGTGTTGGTTCGATGATCTCGGCATATAGTTGCCCTTTGACGATTTTCAGATGGGAGTGCTCCGAATACTCAATGTGGCCCCGACCCAATTGCATCCGAACGCCTGGGCCGCTATGCAGGCGTTTCAGAAACCTGTGTCTATGCTTGGGTCTTATTCCCCGACCATTGGCTTTCCTTTATTATTATATCTGTCGCCCGAGCAAGCCGGTGAAATGGGTGTCACTGGCTCGAGTGTCGAAGCGAGGATTCCTCCAGGCTTTCACCTCCTCTTACAAGGGGTTTAAGGATGGCTTCTTCAAGGTCCGTTTGGGGTAGGACTTGAAAAATTGCTTTTATGACCGAGACGGGTCTCCTCTGTTTCCCTTTTATTGGACGAGGCGCCCGACACGCTTCGAGGCCATACCCGAATCCAAACTCCCTGCCGAGGACAAAGAAATCGTGGAGCTCCTTGACAAGTTTCCGAAAGGCCTGCCTGACCGAGGCCTTTTGGACATTTTTGAGACGTCTCACTTCGAGATGGCCTTGCTAGGTATCTGTTTTAGGCTTCGGCGATTTTTCAGTGGTTTGAATTGATGTTAAGGTTTATTTTGTTGTAGGTTTAATGGCCGGAGGCAAGCTGGATGTTACTGCTATTCTTGCTCAGAGGGCGAAGGAGGCGAAGGCTAGCGGGAAGGTCCCGCCGGCGAGGTCGGCTTTGAAGAATCCACGGGAGAAGCCGACCAACGTGATCATTCCCCTGGCCGATGCCAGGAAGAAGGGTAGCACTTCTCGGGTGAGGGCTGCCGAG